TCACTAAGTAGATTTTAAGTAGATAGTAGTTGTGATGTTTGCATTCTTAAAGTCGTTAGTGGAGCGTGTGTGGTTAACTGGCACACTAACATGGACTAGTGAGAATGGAAAAAGGTCTAAACATAATGATTATGGTACCCCTATTCATAATTGTTTAGACACAAATGTGATCTATGTAAGGAAAGGTGTATGATTTTGATAAAGTCTTATCAAAGCATCTCGTATCAGAAATCTGAATTTTGGTAAGAAAGTCAATAAAGTATTGATTTCTAGAAGCCCATTTGATTTCTGAGTACATGTCAAAGCTAGTGGGAGCATAAGTGTTATGCTTATAAGGATATAACCATCATGTCAGTGGGAGCATGATTATTATGTTAAGTATTGCAAATTAGCAATGTTAGCTATACAAAACAAAAGTTTCAATTCAAAAAGTTACAGGGGTTGAAAATTTGCTTGTTATGATTAAGGGAGAGGAATTCATACTTCATTTCAATTTTGAAAAGCTTAAATTGAGATTTTAATCAATTTTAGTAAAATATATACATGAATGTTATGTTGGAATGGTTCAACATAATGAAATTCTATATATATATATATATATATATATATATATATATATATATATATATATATATATATATATATATATATATATATATATATATATATATATATATATATATATTGCGTTCTTAAAATTCAATTATGATTACAACATCCCTCTTTATAGTTTGAATTGTGAGAACATGGAAAATAAAAAACTATTGTAGCAAAAGGCTAGTCAAGTATCATGTCTTTGTGTAAGACATAATGAATCGTGTCCTATATGCTTCGGGTATAAGATCGATTACATGTGTTATAATATTTATCCATTCTAAATTTTCCAAATGCCTAGGGCATTTAAAGGGAAAAGGGACTAGAACTGGATATGACTAAAATGATTAAACAACTATCGAGGACAATATGAGATTTACCAAAGATTGGTTGCTCATGAACAGTTGGAAGTATGGTGTAAATATTGGAACGGGATCATATTGACATGTTCTGAAAAGAGGCAACTCTTGTTCAGAAGTGATAGTCAAAATGGGAATATGGAAATGTTTGCATAAGGTGGAAGTTATTCTTTAAGTCTGTGTCAAGATTAGAAAACTTAATGCAAGAAGGATGTTCAAAGGAATGTACTTTGAATGTGAGTCTTCGTTTCCATAGAATTTCTCTCCATTGGAATACTTTGTAATGTTTGTTGCTAAGTCTCTGTGACTTTTGTGCAAAGTCATTACACAAGGATCAATTCATATAAGTTTAGAATCTAACAGATTTCAGTAAATAACAAGAATTTGGAATTCTTACATTTACAATAAGACATTGGAATTGTGAAATGAGCATCATTCAAATGTTTTTCAATTGATCTATTTCAAAAAGTAAGGACCATAGAAAAACATAATATGCATGTTTAGAGCCTGGCATAACTATTGTTTAAACAAACATAGTGTGCATGCTTGGAGAATGGCATAACTGTTCTTTTAATTCAAGTATTAAGTTGATTATTTGAAACATTATACAATGAATGATGAGCAATCAATATGGCTCAAAGGTTTTGGTTCCAAATAGGATTAGTATTATTCTTGTGTTTCACTTTGTATGTTTTGACTTCTCGAGTAACTAGGTTATTCAAACCATCCTCGGCCAATCATACTTTGGAGGTAGGTATTGAAGCAAGACTGTCATGAACGGGTCTATAGTTTGTATAGGACAAAGTGGCTACAGTGTTCATGACTGCTCCAAGAATAAGATTCGAGTATAGGATTCAACCCACACTCATTTGAATCACTTCATGGATTTTATCATGAGTGATCATGAGATGATAATATCTTATATTCTCCAAACGGAGACGTGTGAGTTGTAGTTGCGAGTTGGTTGCACATTGGCATATGTAAACGCACTAGAGGTGGTAATCATTTCGTGTCGTGTCGGGTTCGAGTCGTGTCGAAACACTAAACGGGTTGAAAGTGCTTGACCCTAACTCGACCCATTTAATTAACGTGTCGTGTCATGTCAACCCATTTATTTTCGTGTCGATTTCGTGTCGGGTTTCGGGTTAGGGCTATACCTTGAAATATGTCGTGTCATGTGAGATTAAAAGATTGAGCATGTTGAAAGAGTAGGAGTTGGGTAGGCGGAAAGGATAAACTAAAAGTTTAGAGAAAGAATAGATGAAGTCATAGCAAGTTCAGATGACAAAATTAAAATAGTGGGAGTTAGGGAGGTGGATGATAAAGTCATGAGGATGTGAGAGTGGTGAACGAGACTGGGTAGTTTGGGAGAGAATGGAAAAACCGAAATGAAGTCTTGATCTAGACGGCTAAGTCATTTCAAGATTACAAAACAAGTTAATTCGAAGGTTTTCTTTTACTTATGGTTTTGGTTTTGTATCTTTCTTGATTATTTAAATAATTCAAAAAACTTGCATATAAATAAACGGATCATTTTCAAGTCATATTCGAGTTGAAATTCTCAACCCTAACCTTACCCATTAAGTTTTCGTGTTGTGTCGTATCAACACGTTTATTTAAACGGGTTGAAATATCTTACCCAAACCTGTTTATTTCGTGACGGGTTCATGTCGGATTTCATGTTGTGTCAATTTTTGCCACCTCTAGTTAGGGCTATACCTTGAAATATGTTGTGTCATGTGAGGTTAAAAAATTGAGCATGTTGAAAGAGTAGGAGTTGGGAAGGCGGAAAGGAAAAACTAAAAGTTTGGAGGCAGAATAGATGAAGTCATAGTAAGTTCAGATAACAAAACTAAAAGAGTGGGAGTTGGGGAGGCGGATGATAAAGTCATGTGGATGTGAGAGTGGTGAAAGAGACTGGGTAGTTTCGGAGAGAATGGAAAAACCAAAATGAAGTCTTGATCTAAACGGCTAAGTTATTTCAAGATTACAAAACAAGTCAATTCGAAGGTTTTCTTTTACTTATGGTTTTGGTTTTGTATCTTTCTAGATTATTTAAATAATTCAAAAAACTTGCATATAAATAAACGGATCATTTTCAAGTCATATTCGAGTTGAAATTCTCAACCCTAACCTTACCCATTTAGTTTTCGTGTCGTGTCGTATCAACACGTTTATTTAAACGGGTTGAAATATCTTACCCAAACTTATTTATTTCGTGTCGTGTCAATTTTTGCCACCTCTAAAACGCACCAGTAACTTGGTTGTTATAAAACATATCGTTCTGTGTAATTTGATGAGTAAGTACAAGTGAGCATTTGGGTCGAAGATTATGCGTTCGTTTTACCCCCATGTGGTTAAAAGCGATATTTATGGGCCCCTCTATGATTTAATGATGACAACCCTAAGTGATTGGCCAAGCCTAGACTAATTTGATTTATTCAATTAGTCGGTCGTCATAAATCGGAAATCGGGAAAGAATAGATAGACAGAGAGAATAATTATAATCCATGCCTCAGTCTATATAATATCTAGAATGGAGGAATATATATGATCCCTTATCTAATGGACACGTCATCGACTGGGTTAGATTTCGACAGTGGCTTTAAGAGTTACGATTGCTAGTCGGGTTGCAGAGTCATACTTGCAATAATAGTTATTAGACTTATCCAAGTGGGATACTGTTGGATTAGATGTTTAAGACCATAACTATAATTGGTATGTATTTGACCCAAGAGTAGCATGGTTCATTTGGGTTGCATGGCATCAGAACAATTGGATAGACAAATCACTACTAGAAAAATAGCCTTTTACGACGCTCATTGTGCGTCGTAAAAGGCTCAGAAGACGCGCAAATGCGTGTCAAGGAAGGCCCTGTCATAAAGAGAGACGATGCACATTTACGACGCTCATTTACGATGTGCAATTACGACGCGCGTTTACGACACGCAATGCGTATCAAGGAAGGCCCTATCATAAAGGAAGACGACACGTGTGTTAATGACACGCAATGCGTATCAAGAAAGCCCATGTCAAGAAAGGCCATGTCATAAATGAAGACGACACACATTTTTGCGTATCGTAAATTTAAATGTTTAAAAAAAATAAATTTATATATTTATTAATTTTTAAATTAAATTTGCATTTAATTTCTCATAATAGAAATAAAATACCATATACAAAAAATACAATCCATTGCATAATATAAAATAAAATTTCATACTCAAAAAATAAAATAAATTGCACAAATTATAATGTCATACAAAGAATCATTCAAATGTTAAACAAAAATAATACATTGCTAACATGGGTTATACATTCCTATAAAAATAACAAATAATCATACAACTCTGTTTTTGTTACTGGAAAGGAATGTCAAACATGATTACAAGTCTCCCTTAATCTTGATTACTCACCTGCTTAAGTAGAATGTTGTTGTTGAGAAGGTTACCTAGCAACAGAGAAAAACACAACACCTCTCCCACAATCACAACATCATTTACAAAGAAAGGGTTGTCAATTACTTTCATTAAGACTTTCATTCAATCACAAAAATATTAAATAAAAGGGTGAAAAAGTAACTTACTTTTGATAAGTTGATCTCCCTTAGAGCAAACACAGCTAAAGCATTGAACAAGACCCTATTTCAAAATTTTATAAATACACAAATCATGATACCTGATATTGGAATACACACTTTGAGACATGAATTAATACGATTAGATTAACCTGGATACATAGGAAGTAAAGATGGAAGGTGCCAGAACTCCGGGGGCATTGGGTTGGTTCCTTCCCACTCGCAGACACCAAGCCAGAACTCCACTTAATCCAGCACCAAAATAAGCTTGCATTCAGAAAGCTGCAGGGGTGCGTCACAATTCAAGAATCTGTTAAAATTTGAGGAATAACATGTTCAACCAAAACAATATTAGAAAACAGGGTTAAATGTGAAACATACCAATGTAATAATTATCAAGGTGCTGGAATACTTGAAATCTAGATTATTTGCTTGTTTGTACATCCAGACGATTTTATCACGAACATAAGTCATGTTATCAACTTTCTGAAGAAGTATACCAAGACATCTGTAGGAGAAGAATACTCTCAATAAGCTAATTTAATTAAAAAAATGTAATGATAATGATAATGAGTTCATACCTGTGAAGTAGTGCAGAATGCTCATCATCATATGTATAAAGCTCATACTGCTTTGCAAAAGCATTTCCAAGAGAAATGACCCAATCAATGTCTTGAACAACATCCAAAGTTTTTGCAAGAAACTGCAAACAAAAAAAGAAATAAATAACAATGACATGAAAAGTAAAATCGCTATCCATATGAATTATAACACATAAATTGATTGTCATATCATCCTACATTTATTGATAATTAAGGTCTTCTTTAAGGTCTTTAGTGTCACTGACAACTTTCATTTTTGGAATCTAGAGCTTAACAAAACAATATATAAGTTAGAGTTAGGTCAAAGCATCATAATTAATCCAATTCCAAACACATTAAAAAATAAAAATAAATAAAGATTATTGTAATAGATGCAGGAATCTTGATTCTTGGCCTGCAAACTACATAAAATCAGAAATAAAGACAAAGTGGAGCTTTAATCTTACCTTGAAAACAAACCAAAAATCAAGAATATACCATTCAAACCCAAGCCCAATAAGAATAAGTGACATGAACTCCCAAAATTTTATTGGTTCCATATTTGTTATAAAATAAGCCTGGAAATTTAAAAAATAATAAAAACTCCATATATTATATTGTCTCAAGTAAAATTGAAAATGTTTATTTAAATTACCTCTCCTGCAGCTCTCTTTGAGGCAGATCCATCTGAAGCTAGAGCTCTTTCAGCACATACATGAGCATGTGCAACATTCTCAACATATGTGAAATCATACATGTTTGTTCCATCCCTTATAATAAACTGGTAATCCAAAAATCAACCAAAGAATGTAAAAATTAAAATCAGTTTCAATTAAATAGAGACTCATTAAAAACTTATATAATCAAATTTCAGATTACCTTTGATTTCCCTACCCTTGCTGCAGCTAAAGATGGAACAAGCAACTTATCACCAGGGCCAAAATATTATTGGATAGTCAGCCTTTGAATATTATTAGTGGTGTTGTAGATGAGATCTTGACACTTTCCCCAATCCATCAGGCTACCACGAAAGAAAAGATTAAGAGAGTGGAAACAAAGTTGAATTAGAAAATACGAAAAAATATCAAAAAGTGGAAAAACAAAGAGAAAAGGGGGGATCTTTATATAAGAACAATCCATTTCATGTTACTTGCTTTGCTTGAAGTTAAAGTAGGACTGTGAAGGACAAACTCGTCCGTTTGGGGATCAAATGTTGCAGTTGTTTCAAGACCTTGAACATTGGATCAATGACCAAGTTATGTTTGTCCAAACAAACATCCATAAGCATGTTCATAACTAATACTTGGGAGTTGGGAAGGACAAGAAATTACCCAGTGGAGATTCAAGTTCAGCCATGTCTTTTGGTGTTAGTTTCACAGATAAAGCTCCAATGTTTTGCTGAAGGTTTTCAATTTTAGTGGTTCCTGGTATGGGCACAACATCTTTCCCCTGGTGGTGAACCCACGCCAATGCTAGTTGTGATGGAGTGCACCCTTTCTTTACTGCAATCGCACTAACTCGTTCGTACAACATTTTATTATTCTCAAGATTCTCAGGTAGGAACCTTGGTAGATTCTACAAAAAGAGCAAGTATATATATATAAACACAAGCTCAAACTCAGTTTAATGATTTTATATTATAATTGATAAAGAATCTGATTCAATTTGTTTTATGCAGACCTGACGAAAATCGCCCCCTGCCAAATTCTCAGCCATCTTTGAATCCTTTTATTAGTTTATCAATTCATGATCAAAACAACAAGATTCCAACACTCCACCAATCATCAGCCTTGTCATGGCCTTTACCAAGAATAATTTCAGGTGACATGTATTCTATTGTTCCACATAAAGAATTTGATCTTGCATTTTCATCAAACTCTTTTGCTAGCCCAAAATCCGTAAGCAATGACTAAATAAATAAACTCACATGTTTAATAAAAGAACTGTGTGTGTTTGTGAGAGAGAAAACAAAAAAAAAGTACATGTCCTTCCACATCAAGTAGTATATTTTCAGGCTTAAGATCCCTATGCATTATCCTATTTGCATGAAGGTGAGAAACAGCTGAAACAATCTCTGTGGCATAAATACGTGCCAAATCCTCTCTGAAACAATCATAATCATAAATTCTTAATCAGTTTATTTTATTTTTAAAGTAACAAAAACAAATAAATAAATAAATAAATAAAACTCACCGAAACAGTCCATGATGATATAGTTGGAAAAAAAGATGTCCACCATTCACAAAGTCCAAAACGAGGTAAAGTCGATATTTTGTCTGAAGATTAAAAGAGTGAGCATAGACGGATACAAAAAGGGTAGTTTTGGAATTTAGAAAAAAAAAGTACCTGGAAAGAGTAACGAAGCTGGACAATAAAGGGATGATCAATCTTTGTCAAGATATCTCTCTCTGCTTTCATATACTCAGCATGATTTTTCTCCACAATCTTATCTTTTCTCACAACTTTCATTGCATATATTTCCAAACTATCTCTCTTTCTCACTTGATACACTTTACCAAAATCCCCTTGCCCCACAACTTTCATGATTTCAAAATCTTCAAGCCCTATGGTTTTCACCTTACAACCATTTTCAGAATCTTCTTCTTCAATCTCTTTATCTATCACATCACTGAAATCCTCCAATGATTCATCCGTTTCGCATATGGTTAACTTCCTTAGATTCAGCAAGTGGCTTACACATGGCGTGGGACCCACTAAAGAATGTGAACGGCTGTAAATGACCACAAGGCCATCGCTTGGAATTTCAGAATTGCAAGCTGGCAGTGGGAGAGGACCAAATGTATCAGAAAAGTCCAATTCAAGAGTATCTGATGTTTCATTGGGAGGGTTTTTTGGGAATTGGAAATAGTTCTTGGAGGATTTGAATGGCTTGTTTTCAATTAAAGCAGTTAATTGAGAAGAAACCATTGTGGAAATTGGAAAACAGAAAGGAGTGTTTTGTTCGCGTTTGTATTAGTATTACAGACTATGGATGGAAAGATACTAAGATTCGAGCTGATGAAAGGCTTCTACCAATGGCTTTAATTAGAAGGAAGTTCAAGTAAACAATTGGATTTTCAAAGAAAATTGAGAGAATGTTGATTTATGTGTGTGTTGGAATCACCCAAAAAGATTCATGGAAAGCATTAAATCTAAGAAAGAATACGACCTGTGAGGTTCAAGAAAACCCCATCCGTTTACCTTCAATCACCAAAGACCACCACTTCTTCATTCTTCTTCCTTCGATCTGTCCAAACCCCAAAGGTCCTCCGATTTCTACCGATGACGGAGTCTAAGAAGCCAAGGAAGGCTCACCGGGAACCAATAATTTCCTCCTCCTCCTCATGAATAGATCGATCATCCTGCTCTACCATTCGTTACTTGCCCTACTCCATCGGACTAGTTGAGTCCCCTCCCTACATGTAATCTGCTGGCGACAAGGAAGAACAGCCAAGGAGACCGCCGGAGCACCTCCCCCCCCCCCAAGCTGTGGCAGACAAGAGAAGCGTCGCTGCTTCTCCCTTCTCCTTTTTTTTAAATCGATCCCGCACCAGAGGTGCTTCCCCTTTCTCGATTGATTTCCATCATCGAGCCACCATGGCTGCTTGCGTTCCCATCTTCCTTTCTCGATAGATGAACCACGACCACCGGACCAAAACTCCCGCTACCTTCGTCATTCTAATTCCCCTTTTTCGATTTATCTGTGGGGAATAAGAAACAAACGAGAATCAATATTTGGATTCTAATATTGAGACTTGAGAGTATAATACTTAATTAGGGCTTTTTCTGAAAATTTCAACATCGAGTGGGGAATAAGAAAACTATTGGCGAGTATTCTCAATAACAGCAGAGAGATGAAGAAGGTGAAATTACAGCAACGATGATGTAGATGAATGGAAATCGGAAGCCCTTTTTCTTGATTGAGATGATGAAGTCGAGAGATGGAGATGAAATCGTAACCTTCGATCTTTGATTGAGAAGTTGCACAACAGTGTGAGGAGAATGAAAGATGCGTGAAAATCCTTAGGGCAGGAAGGGTAGCGGGGTTTTCTAATTTTTTGGCTTTTCTTTTCCTGCTTGTAACTAAGGAACGCGCGTTCATTAAAATTATAAAGCGACACATATAGAGGGCGCGCATTTAAGGTACAGCGCCCTCCGTGTTTTTAATTTTTTTTCTTTTGACACTAATTTAAAGGCACGCAATAATGCGTGGCCTAAATCCTTAAATTTTCTGAAGAGATGACACTTTTTTAATGTCACTCTCGTTTGCGTAACATATATTAATGAGTGTCGTAATTTGCGCGTCGTAAAAGGCTATTTTTCTAGTAGTGAATGAGAAAAAAGGATACTTATGATTTGTTAATATATTATAAGTTCTAATATATTAATATGAAATCATATTATTTAATTAGTATTGATCAAGAATTAATTTGGAATTAATTTCGTGATTAAAGGAGACTTATTAAATATATAGAGATTGATTATGTAAATAATTCATTCTTATATATGTGGGATTATGATCCATAGTTCTTTATGTTGGGCTAAACCCATGTGGTAGCCCATGGATGCTCCATGTGTCACACCCCCGAACCAGACGGCGGAAACGTCCGGGGGCTGTTGTGACTCAATTGAATACCATCACAATGAATATACATGAAACATAACATCATACATCACCAAGCATTGGAATAATACAACTGGTAGCGTTTACATTTAGTACATTGTTCCCTAACATTACTTGCCCAAAAAGTAGATTGTTCGGTGCTAATTAAACAAGCAGCAAAACGTCACTAAGTACACTTATCCCTTCGATTTATCTGTTACCTGAGAATACAAGTATTTTGAAAAACGTCAACATATGAAATGTTGGTGAGTTCATAAGTAATGTTTGAAATCCAATGTTTGTATTGTTTGGAAAACCACCAGAAAATCCGATATTTTCTTAAAATAGTATAGCGTAAAAAAAAGTGTGAAGATCCGTGAGTATGCTTGTTTGTTTTCTATAGATGTAAGCGTACGAGTTGTAAAATTCGGCATGTAGTTCGTAAGTGTACTGGTTGAAAACCCTAGGAAAACCTGACGTTTTCCTATCACTTTGCTTTAATTAGTTTATGTGTTGTTGTTTCGTTACATTAGAGGTGTTCGTTGAGCTCCGGAGGCATTGAGTATACAGTGGGTTGTGAATTGTTGTAACGTACGTTAATGAAAACGTCCAGTTGACAACCGTACTAGCGATCCCTTAGGCGTCGCTCGCACTTATTCACATAACTCAACCGTCCCGGACTTGTGTAGTCCCACGACCAAAGAGAAAAAGAGAAGGTGCGAAACCCTCGATATTTCCCTTCGTCGTTCAAGACCATTGCAATTGCGAAGGGCCCGAAGCCCAACCCGCAATCGTGAGTTCCCGACTTTACTAGCAGCACCGAAGGACCCTTGGGGACCAGCAGCACGTTTGCCATTGAAAGTCCTTTTACACGCGGTTAAGTCCTATTAGACCCAACTACATGTAAGCAAGTATCCTTTGGGCCTAAAGATCATGTCATCGGGCTAGCTAGGCTCAACAAACATGATTTGCAACTTTTGGGCCTAAGGAATGTACGTCGACGTATTGAGTAATTCCACGAGAGTATAGAGTTCCGAGAGTTCCATATGTGTATTGAGCGTTGTAGTGTTAGTAGTTTTGGATTTGTTATTGATTCGAGACCGAATCAATTCGTTTAACAACGATTTTTGGTATTGTTGTGTATTGTGTCGGTAGTCGCGGTGCCAATATTTGATCAAGTTGTGTGTATTGAATTAGCCTTGAACGTTGTCTGTTTTCAGCCCCTCATTGTTTGTAAAATTTACTTTTTGCACCCTCTAATTAAATAACTTTCCGGTTTGGTCCTTAAATCATTTTTCTTGACATTTTAACACCAAAAATTATTGAAATTAATATTTTTCAGCATATTTTTCATTGAAAACAGTTTAAGTCCCTGAAATTGCAGTTTTCTCGGTTATAACCCTTCTTTTTCACAGTTTTTACAATTTTGGCCCCAATTGGAAAATTTTTGCAACTTTGGTCCTTTTTAAATTTGAAAAGCATTTTAAACCTTTGAAAAGTACTTGTAACACTATTAGTCCACTGTTTTACAGAAAAACACAGTTTTGGCCCTCCAAAACAGAAAATTTCGCATAATGGGCCCTATTGGGCCGAAATTGTCATTTTTAGCCCATAAAGCTTGAAATTTATGTTTTTAATCCTCCAAAAGAGTATATTTTCAGAAAATACATTATGGAAACTGTTTTGACTCATCTCACCCATCAGATTTCGAAATATTTCATTTTGGGCCCTTCAACTTTGTATTTTTAACATTTATGTCTAAAAAAAATGAGTTTTTAGCCCAAAGTATGTATTATTAAGCCACTTAGCTATTTTTCTTGGTATACTTGTATGTAGTAGTATGTTTTATGTTAGTATCATTTAACATAAAGTATATCTCGGTTTTTAGTGATTTATGACTAGATCTAACATCATAATCATACAAAACACACATATAAACATAGAAATCATACAAGGCATACACATAATGATAGATCTACACCTTTGCTTGGTCATAAGACATCCTATGTGCTCATACAAACCCTAATGCTTGGATCTAGGTTTCTCTATTGTACATGCTTTGAATCCAAGACTATAAACCCTAATTCTAACATATGGAAATCAACATTAACATATAATTAGGTTTAAGAACATACCTTGATTGTTATATAGCAATAACAATCACAACTCCACCTTGGATTGACTTTGGAATGCTTAGAGTCACAAGTGTCACTCCTCTAATGGCTTACAAACACCATAAGCAAATGGAGAAGGTATAAAGAGAGAGGTGAGAGGTTAGAACTCGTATCTAGGACCTCTTGGGAAGGGATACACGAATTCATGACCCTAGGGGTGTTTATATAGGTGTAGAGATAGGGTTTCAGTCATTATCCTTATCTAGTTGATTATCCATTAAGCAACCAATAAGATAATCCTTGAATCCTTATCATACTCGAATTCTAAGGCTTTCCAACCTTAAATTCGTCCACCATATAAATAAGATAATCCTTACCTTATTTTGTAACTATCACATAATTACAAATCAGCCCCTCTAGTTTAATTAATTACATTTGATCACAAAACTAATTCTTAATTAATTATTGACCAATATTAATTAAACAAATATGATTTCTCCTTTAATATATTATTCTTATAACATATTAATAAATCATATTATCCTCTCTCTCTTTATTCATTTCTCCAATCAAGTTGCTTTGGTGAAGGCAACCCAAAAGGACCATGCACCATCGGGTCAAGTACATACCAAAATAGTTATGGACTTAGACACTAATCCAACAATAATCATACAAAACACACATATAAACATAGAAATCATACAAGGCATACACATAATGATAGATCTACACCTTTGCTTGTATTCTCCCCCACAAAAACTTATAAAAACCGAAAATAAGGGGGTATGAAGCTCACCTTTGGATGTTGATTTGGTTTTTGAAGAAAGGATGGAAGAAAGCTTGGTGATTTTTGACCCTAGCACCCTTTGATGAAGATTTCGAGTTTATGGAGTTCTAAGACACAAGTTTATGATTTCATGAAAGTTAAAAAGAGATTTTTGAAGATAAGAAAGAGTCCAAAGCATGGATCCAAGCATTAACTTACCTAGATAATGATTTTGGTGATGGATTCTCCTTGTGAAGCTCTTGATTCACGAAATTTTTGAAGGAGGAGGGAGGATTGTTCCTTGAGAATTCTAGAGAGAGTTTGTGAGAGATTTGTGTGTGTATGTGTGTGTGTTTCGGCCGAGAGTGAGTGAGAGAAGAGAGAAATAGACCCTTGAGGTGATATGCATGGAAACATGGAACATTTTGCATGGAAATCCTTTTGT